AGTCTAGAACTAATGGACTTCATACACAATGGACGACCTTCAACCTCGCCTCGTGTTGGACTTCAATCTCACCTCGTCAGTGAATCTTGCTTTATTCAGTAACTACCGCCGTGGCAGCAGGACAAACGCACGGCCCACCTTTATTGTCTCTGAATACAATAACCGATTCTTCTTGGACTTTCGATCGCCCCATGTGCCACATCAGTGCTCAATTTGTAAAGATCCTCACTATCCTCGCATTGATCTAACGAACAATAATCAACACTCCAGAAGCCACCAGGAGACGCTCACCACACCGTCGACACACTCGCAACTCTATCTAGACGTCTACATCGCGATTGTACAACTCCCAGTAACAAGTGCAAGTCCTGGAAGGACTGACACAGAGAAATAATACTTCGATCGACCTATTCACCAGCTCAATGTTCTACACCGAGGTTTAACTTGACTGTGGCAGTCGTCACGAGGGCGCAGTTAATTGTTCTACTTGATCCACACACCCTTGGAGGGAATTTCGTTTTGGACCACAAACAGAAGGTAGTATGCGGGAGGGGCAATGGTATTTTCGGGGACTGCGGTCACCTGCACTGCTCAGCCATTGCCCGCCTTGGTAGGCAACATCGTCTTCAGTTTCATTTGCCTTTGACCCTGCGCAAAGGAGTGCGTCACGTAGGGAGCGCTGTTCATGTTCACCTCCACTACGCCCACTCTTTGGCCCATAGCGAAGTTCACGACGAACACCTGCTTATATTTGATCCGATTGAGATATCCTTGGATGGCAAGCCTTACACCATTGAATCTGAGCATCATCATCAAACAGTCCGTCAAGTTAGCTAAACGTGCACGCTGCAATCATTTTGCATAACCGGACAATGAATGAGAAAGGATAATAAACAAATGTGGAACGTTGAGATCAGAGACTCACCCTGCACCCAAGTAAGGAGGAGAGAACGCCTCAACTTGCAGCTTAGTAGGGTATTATCTATTGTACGTGTAGAACTGGTGGGTTTTGCTTCTGACTAGGAGCACTCTTTCGTCAGCCAGTAAGTTTGCAGTGGAATGATACATGCGGAGAATATTGGTCTTTGCATAGATCTGGAACTGCTTGGTCACGGGGTTGTAGTTCACTGGATTCAAGGCGGGGTTGTTGGCCTTTCCCCATCCCTGATAGCCGTTTTAGGCACCGTTGATGATCAAAATATCTCAGGTTGGCAAGTTGATCATGTCGCCCATAACACGCCGAATTGGCATATTCTGCACAGCCTAGACGGGGTTTTTGGAGCTAGCCACGATTGTCCCACAACTGAACGACATTGGGGCGTTCGCATTTCCAGTATTCGAGGCACCGGCGGCTGCACCTCCACATACCATAATCTGTGCAAACTCGAAACCTATCTGCCATGTCAAGGGAAGCATGACAGCAGATCCAGCAAAAAGATAGTTACGGGGGTTTCCAAGAATTTGAGGATATCCCTTCACGACCTTGCCCGAGTTTCAGTTCAACTGCACGGAATTCCTGTTTGCAAAAACGAAAAGATCTCCGTTCGGCAACAGATACACAAATGGGTAAAGATTGTTATCTCCTCCCAGCATACCCAAGTTGTAGAAGCCTTCTCCGGCTCTCCTCTTGGGATAAAACTCGTAGGAAGGCGTGTTGCGTCCTCCTACAATGATCTGCTGAATACCAGAAGGCAAAAGCTGGTTAGAGGAATACCAACAGCCAGTTACAAGGTTCTCTTCGAGTTCAACCCAGTCACAATTACCTCCAGCGCCGCATGGTTGTAGGGTCCTGATTTTCCTGTTGCCCTCAAAATCACCTCCAGTCTGCACCATCCTTCCATTATTGAAGAACTGTCCCGATGAACACCATGTATCCGTGTACACATACAAAGGGCGGACCTGGTTGTTCCCTGGATTGAACATGATGGAATGCGCATAACAATCAACTTTAGAGATGCGCTCTGCAGGTTGGTTGCGGCAACGACCATTGAGGAGCTTGATGGCGGAGGGTCCTGTGTTGGTATGATCAAGCATGATGACTGTGTTCATGTGCGTGACCACAGTATGCATTGAGGATATACTCGCATTGTTGTTCAAGAGTGCTCAACTGCCCTGGCCG